CAGGTTTGTTTCATTTTTTTCTTTGATAGTTGACATGACTAACTGTAGATGAACAACATAAAGTGGAAGATAAAAGACCCATATGGAAGAGAAAGCTTTTCACCAGGATGCCAAAGGAAGTAAACTGCTTCATGAGACTCTTGTCCAAATCAAAATTACTATTTTAACATCTGATTTCTGAGCCTATTCTGGTTTTCTTGTTGCTGTAAATCCAAGCCTATGTAAAATCTTGGAAACTATTCTGTAAACTCAGGACTAAATCGGGTACTCTCCCTTTAAGGGGCAGATTTAAAGGAATACCATCCTTTGTTCTAACAAAATAGTCCAGGCTTGTCAATCCAGAAGATTTGTGCATTGCTGAACATAATGGTATTTTATTACCTAGTTTATTTCTGTCTAGATTCTAAGACTCCTGCTGATGCTTTGACTCAGAGTAGTTTTCAGTTTGGAAACTTGAACTCTAGTGTCACAGATTACTTCTTTCTTTTGGTAATTTGTATTTTTTTTTAACTATTAAATGTTCAAGAAAGAAAATGTTTGTCCTGACAGAAGTTGTGTTTCAAACTGTGAACATCTAAGCAGCAGTGTGTGAAAAGAGTAGCCTTGATTTGTGCTCTCTTCAGACTCTTGTTAGTTAACTCATTTCTAAGAGTAGTTTGGGATATTATAGTTAAGCTTAATGATTAAGTGGTAGTACAACAGGTCTCTTGCCCTCCTCAGCTGTGATTCAGTAAACCACAGTCCTTGTCCATGTTAAAAGGATAGATGTTCAAATTCAGACATGCATGTTGAAGGTCAACAGACTGTGCTGTTCTTGAAGTTAGGAACACTGTATTTGCAAAATAATTTCTGCAGTTTAACTGTGGCCATTATCTGAAATTGTGTATTGATCTAGATTTTAAAGCAACTTATTGCAAGATAAATCCTGAAATATTCCTACATTTTTCATTAGAACACTTGCAAGAAGGGAGGGGTATTATAGTAAAGTAGGTTGAAGAGACATCTTTATTTAAATATGAGATAAATGGGAAATTTCCTGCTTGTGAAGCAGCATTATGAGAGAAGTACCATAAAATGTAATTTCCTATACAGTTTTATGCAGTGTAGTTTACTTTCTCCTGGATAAAATAACCAATAAAATTACGAATTCTGGCTATGCCATTCCCCACTCATTTGTAACATTGTAAACATTCATCTTATATGTTCCTTTATGTGTAGCTATAAATACCCATCAGAATATTTGCATCTCTTCAGTAATTTAAAATACCGAAAACAAGGGCTAAATTTCAGCATAAGTTGTCAAGTTGTTTCAGACCTTCACATAAATATATACACACTCCAGTGAATGGCACCCATCCATACATACTCATACCATGCTGCTTGTTCCTGACTGAAACAAAATGAATATACATTTGCATGCCATGTGAATATGGAACATGAAAACATACATGTGTGAGTAAATCCATGGCATTGTGAAAAAACATACTTCTAGAATTTATTTCTGTTTTTTGGTATCAGGAATGCCGTTTGTGTTTTATGCAGCGAGGTTTTGTGCCCTGCTGTGGAGTGCTGTGTTTGGGATTCTTGAGCTGGTATACATGATTTATCTCAGGTGTATGTAGTTACCCAGGAGAAAAGCTGGCAGTGCTGTGTGCTTTTCCCAATAAATGAGCAGTCTCATTTAGAATTATTGCCAGGATCTTGTTGTGCTGACACCGCTTTGTGCTGTGTAGACAAGCCTTGGAGGAGAATTACATGTAAATCACTCATAATAGTCTGAGGCTGGAGTCTTGCATTTTACTCAGAAACTTGCACAACTCTTGCTAGAGATATCTGTATTCTGGCCTTGTTTTCTAACCAGATCCTAATTATTTTCCATCAGATCTCTGCTTATATGTTATCTAAATAAAACATTCTGAATTTTAATGATTGCTGTTTAATCCTTAAATGCACTGAGCTAATCTGTGAGTGTGCCTTAATTAAAAAAGTGAAGCCAGGAAATTAGGTCCTGGACACAGAGAGTAATTATTTTCATAACTCTTTTGTTTTTACCTCCATAACATATGGAAAGAGAAAATGACCAATTGTGGTTAGGGCAGAGGCCTTAATGATGGGTTATAGTCCCAGCACTGCCAGTCAGTCCCATCCAGCTTGCATGAGTCATTTAAAGTCTGTCCACAGAGTGTCCTTACCTGCCTAACAGAGGTATGGTGAGATGGGCTGTAGTTAAGCACTCCTGACTCTTAAGGCACAGAGGAACTTAGAAACTTCTTATTTTTGGTGTCATGAATTTCAATAATGGCTTCATAATCACCATCAGAGCATTTGGCCAGCCTTCAGTTGCCACTCCTTGATCACAGATACTGACTAATGTGTTTGCTGTGCTCTGCTTTAAAGGATATGATATTCTTTAAAGAGTTTTATAGATGTACAGATTCTTCCCAGACTTAGTAATAATAACAGGGACATACAAACTGAAATATTTGCAACATGCTGCTGGCCAAAACCCAAGAAATATCTTCTGCTATTTGGGCTATTTGATAATTATTTGACTGCTATTATTTCTTTCTGAGTCCCTTATTTGGACATTCTGCTCTAATAGGTAAATAAAAAAGCCCCAAATTTTGGCTCATAGATCAAACTTGAAGGGGAAAGGAATAATGTAGTTTGAGAATGTAGCAACTGGAGTGATAAATAACAAAACAGGATTACTGGGAAATTGCACATACGCATGCCAAATGTAGAAGTCTGAATGTTTCTTCTGACTGCACAAATCTGTAGACTAGAGAGATTTGATGAAAGGACAAAGTCTTATTTGTTCCTATTTAAATTCCAGTCTTTTGTGGTTTATATCACTATTCATATCATTAATATAGAAAGTGTTTCTTTTGGTTCAGCTGAAGAGCTTCATCAGAGCAAGAAATAATTAGAAAACTGTTGTCTGAGGAATTATGAAATAATGGCCTTGATACATTGAGATGAGGCCAAAAGTGCCTAATGAAATGTCGTTGGGAAAGTTAAGCCTATAGAGATACCAAAATTCTGACTTTACTGCAATTTCAATGTGGGATTCTAAAGGGCATGTGAGTCAAACCTGCTATTGCAGATAGTAGTGTCATGAAATACTAATAGTTTTTTCCTCTGGCATGTCCTGTTCTTTCAGCTTGTTAGTCATTCTTTATTCCAGTGGACACTAGTGAATTGTATACTCATTCTGATTAAAACTTAACCTGCTGTACATTTCAGAAAGTGCCATTTTCCCATTTCTACATATGCGCTTTTCTTGGTCACCAGATTTTGCCCCGTTTGCAATGTCATATTTGCAGCACAGAACCATCCTCTTGATCTTTGCTGCCCCATTTCTCACATTGCATTCCCACAACACATACTCAACAGAAAATCTACTTTGCAACTAGTTGTGGAAGCTTGATAAGCCTTTGTCATAACAGCAGTCCCTGACATTTAAAGGACTTCAGTTTATATTTGTCAGCCAAATTTCATACCTTCATACCTCTTTCAATTAATCAAAGTTAAACCATTGTATATGTGAAGGGGCCTCTTGTGGTTTCTAAGTAAGTAGTATGGCTTTTCTGGCAGAGAGCCACAAGCAATTTAGTAGGCTCATACTGTGGGAGTTGAGAGGAAGAGAGACAGGAATAATCCAGAAAGCCTTAAGAAGGGCTGAATGAAATCAGTATTTCTATACACAGTACAAGACTTTTGCATTTTGGTGTGTTGTCAGTAAAGTAATTCTGAAACATAGTACCAACATGGTTTTCTTCTTACTTACTTTCTTACCAGTTTTGCACTGGTTTTACTTCAGTTAAAATATTCTCAATTTGCACCTGTGGCAGAGAAGAGTTAGGCACAAGGGATTTAATACACGGTTTACAATTGTCATGTTGTCACTAAACTGTTTCCACAGGAATAAACCTAATGTAGTTCCTAACTGTCTTTAGAAATAGCAAGATTTTGTAGCCTAAAAGTCAGGATGAGGCTTTACCATGCACCTTTTGCCTGAGAGCTATACAGCTGTAAATAGATACAAACATAAAAGGTCTGTCTCCAGCAGAGTTGATCTCTCTTTCCAATTCTGACAGGGGTCACATAGTCAATGTAAATTACCACCATAAACTAAATTCCACCTTTCCTGTAGAACAAAGTGCTTGATCTGCCTGTCTAGAAGTCAGGAGCTATGCAGAGAACTGTTAATATTTCAACAATTCAGCATGAGTGGCAACCTGTTCTTAATAATGAAATGCTAGCTACATTTAATTTCATTTTGTTTCACCATGTTAAAATCCATCCTTTCTTTAGGGGATTTAAAAACCATCTGAAGGAAACCTGGAGACAAATAGAATAATTCAAGTAGAAGCACTATCTTTCTTTGTATTTCATGCAAGCTCAGGTTCAACATGCACATCTTGATGCCCACAGGGAATAAGTTACATTTATAAAAGGATAGTCTAAACACCTCAAGAAGAACGTGATTTCTCCATTTTATCTGTCATTTCGATTTAATTGAAATATGTGTCATAATAGAAATGTCAAAAGTGTTAGTGGATTTTGCTAGAAATGTAATTAAAATAGAAAAATTTAAACTATTATTGGCAAGTTTTTCAAGGTTGTAATGATTTACTTGGGTGTTTTATAACTAAGCTACAGTATGCTGTTAAGAATGACATGTAGGTTGGAAACTTTAACTTGAAGCTAGATTCCTATATAGATACAACATCTTGAATTCTATCTGAAAGATGTCAGAATCTGAAGAACTCAGCACTTCAAAAATTATACAACAGGCATATCATGGAAAATTGGGCCCCAGTTCAGCATGTGACTATCTAGACTATTTTACACACTCCTTTTTTGATATTAAAGATGAATTCAATGTAAATGTCTGGAATTCTTCTTACAAGCTTGTTGAAAAGGGACAGTATTTTAGCATGACTCCCTTGTGCAAACGTGGTGTTTAGCAGATTACGTATGTTATTCTGTTATAGGTACACTACAGTGATAGACAAAATGGCAAAGAGTGTTTGACCTGTTTGACACTGTCTCCTGTGCAGATGACTTTCCAAGGTATCGGAAGCTCCATTGAAGCCAGCCATGACCAGGTATAATACCTTCACCACACACTCTTGTAATTTTATTGATATCTGGTAAGGCCAGAATGTCAGCGTTAGTAAATTTAAAATTTTGACACATCTTGTCCTTTTCATATGGCATGTTCTTGTCACAGGGATTTGCCTCTCTTGCACTGCTAAAATCCTGATTAGATCTAAAGAGTGAAATGGAGACAGAACTATATTGCCTTTTGCATATTTTTAAGATATATTAGGAAAGCCTGAAGAGCTTGCTTTGGTTTTAAAGTCAGATGTAAGGTTTCTGCAAAGGTTTTATTTGCTTTTATGTGTGTATCAGGTCTTGTCTATCCTGTTTTTGTTAGAAGATTATGAGTAGTTGGAAAAGCAGAGAGATGAAGCCATCATCTCTAGCCATCATCTGTCACAAGAAACTGGCATTTGAGAGGAGGAAGGCATTTTTAATCAGACTGTGTAAAACTCCCATTTTGTTTGGCTGTTGCTAAAACATTTAATTCAAGCTTCTGGCAAAAAGCCAGAAGAAAAAAAAAGAAGTCTCAATGTCAATCATTTATCACCCTGTTGCTTCAGATGGGAACTGAGGGGGACTTCCATTCTTGTTGTCTTGTCCTCCTCCAACACTCGTATGTATAAAAGCAAGACAAGACTTTGATACTCTGAAAGTATTAAAAGCAAAAAGGAAACAAGCAGAAGAAAACATTAAACCAAGCCTTGTGCCTTTCATATCTTCAGTAGAGTAGAAAAAATTGCCATGTTTACTTGCCTTTGCAGGTTATCTTTAAATGGTACTGTGTTCACATTTGCTGTACATTTTATCAGACTCTATGCAAGATCCTCTAAGAAAAAAAAAAGGAAAGCTGCCTTAAGAATTAGCAAAAATAGTTACTTTTGGGGAAAAGTTTCAGACACTCTTAGCCATGTTTTTGTTTGGTGGATTTTTTATTGAAAGTTCCTAAGTTAGTTGTTAACATAAACTAAGGCCATTAGTTATTTACATGGTAACATGAGGATACTTCCTGCCCTTAAGTATTTGGTGTTTTACAGTAATGGAGAGCTGTGGTAAGTCAGACCATACTTTGACATTCACTTCTCATTTCATCCAGCAACTTGTTTATGCTGCTCTAAAGCTGTCCCATTTTTCTTTCAGTAAGGTTAGGCTTTTAAAATATCGTTATAACACAAGTATGATATTTAGACATTTCAATGAATTTAAGGTGGTCCCTGTCAATTTGGTAACAACTACATTCTGGGCTACCAGCCAGCTTGGCCTTTGTCTTAGCATTTATTTAGGCTAGAGTATGATATGTAAACAGAAAAAAGACTCTGTAAGCAAAAACCACATTTAAGCCATCTGAATAATTATATATTTAAGACCTCTAAATGAAAATGTTGTATTGAGCCTGCAAAATCAAGCACCCAGAAATTAGGAAATTCCAGGTTATGCGCAAGCATTTAGTTTCATCCCAAATGTACCCTCTCCGTGCTCCAAACAGGATATTCTTCTGAGAAGAAAAAAAATTTGCATAAAATCACATAGATAAAGATTGTAACATAGCACATTCACAAATAGGTAGAATTAAATTTACTCGGGCCATTATGTAGCCAGAATTTCCTCATCTTGTTTCAATTTGAAGTTTAAAAAACTGTTCATAATCGGTTTTAGTTATGTAATTTTCCAAAGGGTTCTTAAAATGGAAAGATAAATGTTTTGTTATTGCATGATGGGGTGGTTGGTGGTTGTTGTGTTACTGAACCCACATCACTTGTGCAAAGATTTCATCTGAGCCAAGAGCAAAAGAAAATAATAATCTGAAAGCCAAATGCTAACCAGTGTCTCACAAAATACATCCACTCACTGGACAGGGCACACAAATTTCTGCTCACGCCTTTCCTAACTGTCAAAGGAATTTCATTTTCTGGGGAAGAGGGATGCTATTGATGGGTTGTGTTTGATAAGGGAGGTAGCAGGACTAGATTATAGTATCATTTTCCATCACCTGAATAAAAAGAGAAAAAAATTAATCAGTAGCAAGTCAAGGCACTGGAATGAATAAATTAATGACAAAATTAGGGCTAATAATTGACTAACTAAAATAAATTTTCCCTTTTCTCTGTTCTTCCTGGGTGCTTGGTGTGTCTTTCCTTGTTTCCTACAATTTTACTCACAGTAAGTTGGTTTGATGGTTATTCTTCTTTTAAAAATAGGAGAAAGAAATGCTGCACCTTTGTCAAACTGAACTTCATATTTAAGTGTCAAATTAAATAAGTTCAAGATAACTGTGTGCTATAAACCTTGAATTTTAGAAATTCTTCTTCAGCTTTTGTAATCTGTTACTTTTAAATCATGTCTGTAGTATTTTATGGCTATTAGGATGGGCTAATCACTCGGAAACCTGTGATTTCAGGGAAGGATGGTGATTTCTGCCTCAGTAGTGAGGCCTGGCATAGTTTGACATCAGGAACTGTCAGCTTCTGTGCTTATGAAGATAATTTTTCCTCACATTTGTTTTAAAATATTGATTCTATAATTTCTAGAGGTATTTTATGGAACACTTTAGGAACAAGACTCTGGAATATTTTGGTGGAAAAGGTGAAAAGTATTGTGTGAGAGTATCTAATAAAAAAGATGTATACAGGTTTGTCATTATATTGTGGCAGAAGAACCACGATACTGTGGTATGTGGCAGCTGATTAAAAAAATAGAAATTAAAAGGGAAAAAAAAAAGAAAACTATGTTGCCAATGACATCTCCAGCACTATAGAATACCTTTTAGATTGGACTTGTCTTTTGTAATGTGTCTCCCTATCATATCCATACTCATATCCAGTGGAAGATTTGTTACCCAGCAGATACCAAAGTGGTTACAATCCTACATAAGTACATTATCTGGCTGTTTCAAATATGTCAAGACTTGACACTGCAGTTTTTGAAGTCTCTTGCTCTTTTCCTGTACTCTGTAGGGAGTTTTCATTCTTTAGATTGGTTTAGCTTGTAATTTTAATGAGTTCAAATATTTTCCCCACAAACTTCATCTGAGCAATTTCAGATTAATGTAAACATACCATACTGGTACACTAATTAGTGTGTATTTCAAATGTCTGATTGACAAGCCATATCTCATGAAGCAGTATTGTGGAAGCAATTGCTGATCTTTCATTTTTCTTTTGACAAAAAGAAAAAATGGGAAACATTCTTAAAGCACCACTGCAGTCTATCCTGCCACAAGTTTTGCTAGGTTTTGCATTCAGGTATGCCAACCTCTTTTATAAAAATTTAATGGAGTTCATAATTTTTTTTCCTAAATGAATTCTTTCTATTTTTTCTGTTTCTTGTTACCTGACTATAACTCTAAAATTCTCTTTCCTTAACAGTAACTATCCTCTGAAGGTATTTTTCAGTAAAATTTAGTTACAAGTAGCTATTACTTAATGGGTCACCACTTTCTGTTGACTTTCTCAATAAGAGAATGTCTGAAGGCCACAGAAGAGTGATAAAGAGAAAAAGTTAGAGCTAAGCAGATGGGGTGATCAAAAACCCCACCAAAAAAAGACATCTGCATTACTACATCTCAAAGTACTGAAACCTGAATTTCTTGTTAGTGCTACAAATAAATATCTTCCCGTTTTAGTGAACTGTGACACATGAAGAGTTCTTTGAATTCTTGACGCAGGCATACTAAGAACTGTAAGCTAGAAGTTGTAATGCTAGCAATTATAGGAAATGGAGATTTGTTTTCCCTGGAGGACTCTAGTCAATACCTTAAAGTTATAGTAAATGCACTCAACAAATATCACCGGATTCCCTATAATGGTTTCTAGGTTAAATTTGATGCCCTGTGTCAAACAAGACAGCCTGTGACTTATTTTCAATCTTAGAAGTGATATACTTCTACTATGCCTTGAACTAACCAATGTCAAACTCAGATTCCATGTTTACATGTATATTTTAGAAACTTGACATGTTACCATCTTTAGTGGCTTTATAATAATTGTTTTTCTGGATGTTAAAGCTCTGAGTGATTGAGTGCTTTGGGGTATCACACTCCTGTAGTTGTCATAGCTGTGAAAGAATAAACATCCTGGGTGCATTTTTAAGGCTTACTGAACAGCAGGCAAATTGAAAGTATGAACATTCATTTTAAAATAAAATTATTTAAAAGTCAGTGATAGTTATGAGAAAGAACAGCTTGGTCCCATTTTGAGTTTCAGAATGCTTGCCATGGAGTACTCTGCCTGAACAAGTGAATTTTTAACTCCAGGTAACTTAATGTTCATTGAGGAGTGACCAGTTCTCTACTTGAATTTCAGGAGGCAGATCAAAGAGCAGTCCATTGTCTTAAAGTCTCGTTGCATTAATACTTTTTGGTGATTTTGGAGGTTTTAACCATATGCATGTTTGTTGGAGCTGGCAGTACTAGATTTGTTTATTACTGAGTTCAGCTGTTTACTTCACCTAATTGTGCTGTTAAAGTGATATCAATGAACATTTTATGCCTACATTTTTATTCCTTGCTTTCTTAATGTTATCCATTATATTTATATTTTGTATTAGACTGTAGCTTTATAACTCTTCTGCACTTTGCAATGCACAGAATTTATTTTTAAATACTTTTATTTTGCAGGAAGATACCAAACTTTTAATGTTATATTTAATCTACCACTAATAACACTTTTATTTTCAAGTATAAAAATAGCTGGAAAGAGAACAAGCAGGGGCAGAAATTGTAGAAGTGGAAGAGCTACTGATAAGATAGACTTTATCAGAGAGCCCAACATGGAGAGGATGTACTGAAAGGAAGATGCCACACTCAGCAGTTTCAGAAATCACTGATGAAAAGCTTGGCAGACAGCAGTGGCAAGCAAACTGAAATGTGCTCTGCATCCAACCATCACTGCTGGCCTGCAAACAGGCGTTTCTGGACAGGGTTAACAGAAGCTGGGGATGCCCAGATGGGAGAAGCTCCTGCTGGCATTTGAATACAGGAAGGGCAGGAATAATTCTCAAGGAACAAAAGAGATGGGTGACAGGCTCAAGGGAAGGTGCTTGGAACATTAAGTTTTGAAAAGAAGCCCCACATCTCTGTTTTGATCTCAGAATTGCTTGTAGATCATGCTCAGGAAGCAGCATCTAGAGAATTTGCAAAAGCCAAAATAGCTAAAGGTGCAGTCATTGAGCATGCAGAGGATAAAAATTTGACCAGTGCCATAACCAGAAAAGATAAGTGGGCTGTGTTTTTTATTAAGATACCTTTCCATATCAGAAAACCAGATGATTGACTGGACACTACATAAATTACCAATTAATTTTTTTTTTTTTTTAATGAGAAGTTAGTATTTTCTAGATGTTGCGATTTACTTCAGAATGGGTTTTTATGTCCTGGGCATGGTAAAAAAAAAAAAAAAAAGTTAAGGTTTTCTTTAAAAAATACATGCATCCTTTTTTTGTCTTTTTTTTTTCCCTTAGGTGATGTTATATGCTTCATTTGTCAGCTTATTTCTACTTTACTTTTTGTAAATGCAGTTATCATTTCTTCAGGGTGGCTTCTTCAATAAAATGATAAAACTTCAGTTTTAATAAGTAAAAATTTTCTAGCAGTTTTCCCAAAGTTTGGCAATTCCATTACAGCCCCTTCAGCAAGCATCAGGACTTTTACCTGATCTTATGAAAACATCTTACACAGCTAGATCTCCTTCTCCTTTAAAGGGAGGGGGGACGTGGGGGGGTGTCAACATGACCACAGCTGAGTGCCCAATGCTTCAAAAGAACCAGTTCATGCAGGACAGAAATTTAAACTACTTTTGATATATAGCACCATGTTTTATTTTCTGTTCTGTCTCTTAGGTTGATGCTGCAGCAAGGAGTCATCCCATCAGGTTTTAGTTAGGCTCACTGGATTGTTGTCTGCTATTTTATATTTCTCCTCATCTGTTGTGCTCCCCATGACTGTGTGTGGAAGTACTGGTACATTCTCTCCGTATTCTTCATCTTCTGTTTTGCATTATGTCAGTCTGGATGTACGTGACAGAACATTTGCTTTTCCCTGGCAGCTGCTAAAGTTTTCCTTGATGAGCCCAAGATCAAATGCTTGCATTTCTTCAGGAAGTGTAATCTTTAATTTTCAAAAAGTGGGTTACTAATTAGCTGCTGAATGGGAAAAAAATGCAAACCAAGGCAAGCCTATCTCCTTGCCAGACTCTTTCAGTCTTCTCATTCAGGGCTTCCTGAGCAGATTCCCAATGTGACTGCTTCTTGCTGAAGATTCATAATAGGATTTTTCAATGCTCTGTGTATGCATGTTTGTTTACACAGCACTGTCAGCAGGGTATGAAATGCTTCTGTTGCAGTCTCTGCCTATCTTGCACGCTTGGCATGTAGCTTGTAACTAATGACAAACAAAGACCATGTATGTTTTTGGGACTGTTGGAAAAAGAGACAAAAGGTGAAATATCCTCCTGACTGCTGTTGGTGAGGTTTCACAAGAGTGGTGAGGTTCACAGGATCACACAATGGTTGAGGTGGGAAGGGATGTCTGGAAGTCTCCTGGTCCAAGGCCCCTGCTTAAGCAAGGCCATCTAGAACAGGCTGCCCAGGCCATGTCGAGGAGCTTTTGAGTATCTTCAAGGTGAGACACTCTGCCTTGGTTGTTCTTTCCCATTTACTTCATCTCCAGTCCTGGCTGCTTCCTAAACTGCTGAACTAGGTGTAAACAAGCTAATTGAGTTGAGATGATCCGGTGGGGCTTAGATGAATGCCAGTGCTGTAACAAGGGCAACATTAGGACTGCCCACTGAAGAGGAGAGGAGAGGGAGCCTTCCCTTTCCACAGCAGCAAGCTGTTGGCTTAGCTTACCCACCTTGTAAAATTACCTTTAAAGGAGGTGAGGCAAAAATTAACTGTACAGAGAAGTTAATTTCTTGTAGAAATGTTTGTCTTTAGTACCCATAAAGCTGTTCACTGTGCAGTAGCATGACTTGGCACAAATAGATCAGGAATGGCACATGGAGGGAAGAAGAGGAGGGCTGTAGCAGCCCTGACCTGCAGGAGTTTAGCTGTTTTGGAACTGCACCCTTAGTAGTTATTTGCATTAAAATACCTTAGCAAGCTTTCAGTGCACTGTAACATGTGGAAGTGGCAAGAAAGGCATTAACAGCATACACTGAGCCAACCTTCCATGGACCACAAGCCAGCTGTTCGCTATCCTAAGTTTGCAATCTGTTTTTGGTTTGGTTGTTTTGCAGTTACTTAAGGCTCAGTTGGACAATGGTGGAATGTAAAAATCTTGAATTTTCTTGCTGCTGTGTCTGTTAGGAAAGGGAAGAAGCTTAAAAGGGAAAGGTATTGGAGAAGTTTGGAAAAGCTAAAAATGTCAGTTTACTGCCTTGTCACGCTTCAGCAGGAGATTCAGCCCACTTGTATTATCAAGAAATCTAACAGATTTTTCCCTGTCAGGGAGAAACACGGGGAAGACAACAGAGGTAGGTTCTTCTCCTACTCAAGAGCTAAAAATGGATCGGCATACACCTACTGGATGAAAGTTAGTAACAAAGATAGAGGCAAAAATCAAATGGAAGGAGACCCACCCCCAAGTAGCTTGTCTTGCAGTTGGGTTTGACAAAGATCTAGGTCTTTCCTTTAAACTCCTGACAGGCAGCATTTTAATTTTATTATTTTTGTCCATTTTAATTTCTAGCACTGGTAAAATCTTTCAAAGTTATGGATTAAAGCTAACACTCAGTCAAAGTCCAGCTTTTGTAGACACCTCACTTTTAGACAAAGAAAGACATTAGCAATATATACGCTGAACTTCGTTGCCCGGCCAGTACTAGCTAGAGTTGTTCTGTGGCATTTTCCACACACTACTCAAAGTAATGCTATGTCTGTTTGGTGATTTGTGTTTAATCACTTGTCCTTCAGTGAAGTTGCTTAACACCCTAATTATATAATTGGCATTTCAAGTTACATTTCCTTAACCATTCTACAAGACAAAATAATGATTTGCACATGTGGCATCTGAAGAACTGTGCTTTTGCCAAAATTCTGTTTGCCACCTAATTTTTCCACTTGTCTTGAAATAATATCCCACGGCTGGCATTATGCATGCATCTAGCACAAATGAAATTTCATTGTTTTTGGTTTGCACAATCATCATACTACCCCTTGATCTACACAGTGCAAGCAGAAACTAAATATGACATCCGACATCCCTTTGTTTCAAGGATTAATTTCAAGAAGCCAGAATCTCATAATAAATGCTCTGACAATAGACTTGAGGAGAAATAAATGAGGTCAGGAATCATAAGTAATTAGTAACTAGCAACAGGTAATTTTGTAAGTATGAGCAAGAGAAAGTTGTGGAGCAATATTGAGGAGCACTATGATTAAACTCAGTTCCTAGACATCTGTGTTTTCTTCCTTGGAAGTTTTTTTTAAATACCCCATCAAGAAAGAGCTGAAGACTTACCCTAACTTGATGATTAATGGTTTGCCTGAGAAAATGACTTCACTTCTCTTTTTTACATGCTTGTTATTGATGCCCTGATGGAAAGTGTCAGACATCTCAAGGGAAAAAGGTGTTTATACTCTTTCCTATAGCTCATTGAACATAAAATCCAAGACCTTCTGTCTGCTTCCAGCCCATTACCTGTACAGGCTTTTTGTAGTCAAACTGGGTTTCTAAGATTATTGAGTCAGAACATCCCACTGTTTGAGACAGGAAGGAGTCAGCAACCAACCTTCTCTTCCAAGATCAAATGTGCAATGTCCTCACTTGATACAGGAGTTTCTGTATCCCCAGAATCTCTGTATGTACTTGTGCCTTCCATTTTGTAGCCCTTACAGACTGCCTTTTTTCCAATACTAATGCTTCATTCCAGCAAGATCCTTCACATATGCTAAATATAAGACTGCTTCCAAGTAATTCTCTCTTAAGGATCCAGAACTTGAGATAATAAACACTAGAATGGAGGTATCGAGCAAAACCAAAGCAGTGAACTCTTAAGTTAAACTTTAAATTTTATCAATATTTCTTCATATTCATTCTTTCTCTTTCCCATCATTAGAGATACTGTGAGACCTAGTTTTCCACAGATCCTTACGGCTGTACAAATAATTGATTTTACAGTCCGAAATCTCCTCTCTCATCCTTTATCCCCTCAAAAAAAACCCACCAGTTCAAATTGGTCCAAAATAAAGAAAAAAATGCTTCTAGCCAAAAAAAAAAAATTTATTTTATACTTGGGCATTTTTAGTGAAGCTAAGAAAATGGCTGAGATTTACAAAACTGGTGGGAAAGATGATGAACTATTTTACCAATAAGCTCAGGGGTTCACACTCTCACGCAAGACGCAAAAGATGTTAAGTTTTATTCTGTGCTTGTCCCCACAGGACCATGAACCCTCTTTAGGAACCCTTCTTATGCAACAGAGAGTCACAGCTGGGCAGCCCCGGGAGCACAAAGTGGTAACCACAGAGCAGTCCTGTTTTTGACTCAATGAATAGTTTGCTCAACAGAGCTGTATGAGCAGAAAAGTTTGGTGGAATTCTCATTTGATATTAACCCCTTTGATCTGAATAATGAAAAGAATGATTCTTATCTTCCTGGGAGTTAAAGCGACTTAAGCTATGATTTTTCACAGTCCAGTATTGACCATCAAGTCAATACTGGGCTTGATGGTCAATACGTCTTCCCCTTCAGTTTTCACCACACGTGGATGAAGCTAAACAAACTATAGTCATTAACTTCTAATTTCTCAAGGTATTTACAGTTTAAAATGAAGACTATCTATCCTGAGTCTGGGAGCAGATTTGGCCAAAGCAAAACTGCTCTTTCCAAAGTATTTCCAATGTTTCCTGGAGGAATATGCATGCTCTGCTCTCCAGCCAGCCCCATCCCTGCCTTGGGTAGGTATCCAGCTGGTGGCGGCATTGTTCAAACCTCCAGCCATGTGCTCCTCTGGGTGGAAGTTGCCACATGGACCTGGAGCTGAGACTGCCAGGTTGGGCTATGAAGGCAATTTAAGGCAGTAGGTTGTGTTCAGATGAAGTCACTGTGTTCCTCAGCAGTACCTGAAAAGTCTTCGTCTTCCTCCCTTGTGTATTTCTTCTAAGTATAACCTGCAGACAAAACAAGATCTTTCTTTCCTCAGCATTCAGCTCTTCAGCTGTCTGTAAAAGAGCTTTACATTTGTTTCAGGATATTTAAAACTTGGTTGCATGGCATGGATTCATAAAGGACATTTTGGCAGCTGCTGTTGCTGAATCTCTTGTATTGGCTGTAGATAAAGCAAGGCAAGTGCCAAAGCCTCAAGTCTCTTCTACTGATAGCAGTGGAGCTCTGAGCAGTCCCTGTACCCACCATGTCTCAGCCACTTAGATAAAAATAACACCTTTTTCTGATACTGGTTACAAGGCTTATCCCAGAAATGGAAATATTTTAGATGGTTTGTGAGGTCATAGAACGCCTGTTTAGACATTTCTTCGAAGCATTGGGCTCTTCAGCAAGTCAGTCTTATTTCATACTCTCTCCTAAATATTTTCTGTGTCAACGTGTCTTTGAATAATTTGGGTCTTTTTTCTAGCACAGCATGCTGAATGAAATTATGAATTGAGGAGATTTTTATGTTGTGTTTGATTCAATACTCCATTGTCATGTGAAGTGGTATAATAATACACTATCAGTCATTTAGTGAGGAGCTGGGTGTACATGAACCTTTGTGCCTATGGGTGGGGCTTCCCAGGGTGCCTCAGTTCATCAGTGCAGATAATACTGCAGAACCTGAGGGTTTGATTTTGGAATGCCACAAAACAGGATCATTCTTCCAAATTAAATAAAAAGTAAAGGTTCAGTGTATAGAACTTTTTTTTTTTCCCATAATGTGACTGTCCATGAGAAAAATAAAAGGAGAAAAAGAGGCAAAGGAATGTTTGCCATAATTTTATAAGCTGCAAAATAATTAAGCAAGAAGATGTGGGTTTGAGAGGGAGTTAAGGAAATTAAAAGGAGGATCAAACATTGGCTTGATCCAGAAGTGCTTAAAATCCCATTTGCCCTTACAGAATGAAAATACTAGTGAAGAAGTCTGACATGCTGGCAAAGACACTATTTAGACATGTCAAACTACTTTAAGATAATTTGAAAGTTTCTTGGCCCTCATTTAAATAAACTGAATCTTGAGTTTTTTGGAACTCTCCTGATAAGTAACACTTAAAACCCTTTTGATCAAATACCCTTTCTCAGGCAATTACATGTTCTTAATTTAGAGGCCAGTTCAAAAGATTTCTTGTTACCTTCATTTAACAAAGGTCCAAGTGCTGCAGTTTTCTGATCCTTTTAAAAAAGGCAAACAAGGAGAGTTTGCACAATAAAAGTTCTTTTTTATTCTCAAATTAATTATTTTGAAATATCTCACAGATTACATCAGTTTCTTCCTTGCATTCATGTTGCAAGATGGCGAGTATTGTATATTATTAGTGATGCATTAAATTAGTTGTTTACATTATAAAATCTAAACATATTAGAATCTTTTGTGTTTGTCTTCAAAGATTCCTATTCTAATAAAGCTTTCTGAAACAAGTAAGGTTGTCTTTTTTGTTTAGTTTATGCATCAGTGGAGAACCTAAAGATTCGTAGCCTCTAGCCATCCCCGTCTGTGTTTAGTAGAGTGTAAGGAAATTATGTTTTAGACAATATATATTATCTTTTCATATAAAAGGGAAAGTTATATTTTAAATAATTTATTTTGCATTTAGAAAAGGTAACACCTGAGAAAAATGTAAATGGAAAGAGTCAAAGTTTGTACTCTTCTCTCAGAGAATTTGTTTTGCTGCAACTTTTAATCGGAGTAAAAGAAGTATGTATATAGTCCTGAAAATTAAAGATCTTGGCTGAATCCTCCTTATTTTTGATGGCTTTGTTCACTCTTCAGGTTGAAGTGTTCCTGAGTGTTAAGGGATACAAGACAACATTCAGTAAAGAACAGTAGTTGGGATTTTAAAGAAACTTTGCTGTTTGGACTCTCAGTTTTGCTCTATGACAAATGTTTTAACAGACTTGTAATGAAATATGAAAAAGAAAATCAAAAGCTGATAGCTTTAATATGGCTAGAGCTGCTTGGTGAAAGCAACTTTCACTTTTGAGGAAGTTCATGACTGAAGTTTTAGAAGCAAAGCAGCTTCTCAGGGAGTCAGCAGAGCAGCGTGGCAGTGGGTCCACACTAACCCCTCGACACAATCCTTTCCAGTGCAATAGGTCTTAGTTCTTCATCTAGAGAAATGACTGCTCTAAGATATATATACACTTATACATATACACTTTGACTTTTTAGGACATATTGGTCATACTGCATCTGCCTTATGAATCTGTGTTTTAATATGTTTAGACATACATCTTCCTATCCTAACAGTGTTGGCAAGTCATGAGTAAACAGCAGGATTTTATTTACCTGTCAAAGCCCCAAATAACTTGCATTAAGCCAATGACCAAATAAAATGTCACAGTTATACTTTATATCATCTGGAAGGAAAAGTAGCAAGCTAAGTGTTAACTTCAGAATCAGATTATTTTCTGTGTACAAGATATGCCTTTTAGAATAACATGCCAAGAGCGCTGCATATCTCAATAGCCTCCAGAGCATACAGCAATATAACAAGCACTGGGTTATAGTAAAACTTGGGAAATGTGACAAAATAAGCAGTGCAGTGAAGAGAACTGTACTGAAACCAGTTGAACAAACAGGAAGGATAGAACTTGATAAAATTATGGAAAATCTTAAGGAACATCTAGTTTCAGATCATGACAGTGAGAAAAATTATAAGGAGTAAACCATTATTTTTCAATAAGCTTTCAGCTTTAGACAAAAAAGCAAAGTGATTGAAAGGTACCAGAGACTTTTGATTAAATCAAAAAGTAGCTTTTTAAAGTAATGTATGAAATTATAAAAAAAAGAATATATTATTTGCCTGAAAGATTTTTTTAAATGAAAGAAAGTGTGAGAAGGTATGAAACAGTCTGATGTAACAGCCTGCCAGAAATTGTTTCAAAGGTTATCATCACTTGCTTAGTTATTTAGGCAAGATGTGTTCCCTCAGAAAACCTAAGGACAATTCTATGTGTAACAATGTAGTAGCACTCATCTGAATAGTTTTAATAAAGTTAGAGGTTAATCATGAGGCTTTAAAATAATACAGACAGTGAAACAAAGTCTAAAGTACAAATCAAGGCCTTGTGAGAAAAATTAAGTCTACGTTTCAAATACATCCTCTACTTCTGGATTTCTGATTTGAGATACTTTATGCTACAGTATTTATAAGAAAAAGCACACACAGCTTTTAAAACACTAGTTCTTGAAGAAATTCTGACTAAGTGTCCTGATCCTGTAAACATTTCTGTACTCATGTAGGTCTACATATGAGGTGTTCAACTGGTGTGAGTGGAGGTTGACCTGAGGTAAATACTAAATGCAGCTACATCATCTGGGGTTAGGATCCCATCTTTGTTTTAGCTGGGCTCTTTTCTAAGTGTTCGAGACTAAACCACCACATCTCTGAGCACAGTCATCTTAAGAATTGATGTTCCTATAGTTATTTTTCTAAAGCCCAGGGTGCGTGAAAGCTGCAGTTTTCCAGATGTCTCATGATTTTTATAGTAGAATGAGTAATTTGTATTTTGAACTCTCTTTTGCTCTTTCTATTTTGTTTTACAAAACATTGTGGCTGGCACTTGCATGCCCATTGCCTCCAGCTGGACAAAAGTGGCTGAAGTGGAAAAGTCTGTTCACAGTTGTAGGAAAAGAAGTGATGAGAAGCATAGAAAAGTAAAGGCTCATTGTTGAAATCTCAGGAATTCATGCCCCTTGTCCTGAGAAGAGATATGTGGCTGAGTTGTATCGTATAGAGCAGTGTCTTGTTTTGAGTAATGCCTCTTACTTACGTCCTAGACCTCCCTCCTAAAACCTTGTTCCAGATTACAAATCATTCACAATTGAGAGAGCAGCAGCCCAGAGAATCAAAGACTGGTATTTGACTGATGGTTTGATCATGAGTGCAGTTTTTAGGAGGATGGTCTTTATCAGATGGAAGAAGATTCTATGTTGTGTGTTGTGAACTTCTGCATTTGCAGTCATGTTCTCCATTTCAAGTAGGAGGTAAACAAGCCAAGTTGCTAACTAAAATTGGTATAACCAGGTGCCATATCTTGATTTCTGTTATATTAAGAATTCAGAATGTCTTTTCAGGTTGTGAATTGGACAGTGTGAGTAACTGGTGTAGTGCATTGGCTCTGGAATCTTGCTAAAGACAGCATTTCAGAGTCTGCATCTGAAGTTTCTATTCCATTCCTTGTCAGGCAGAAGAAAGAAAAATCTCAGTATCACTTCTCTTTACTTTGGGGAAAAGTTGTGCACCTTTCTTCCAGTCTCATCTTCCTCTACCTTTTAAAGACCTTGGTTTTGTCTTTGGTACTCTTAAGACATTTCCCAGCAAATCTCTCTTGTAGGTATTGCAGGTCCACTGTCAGTTTACCCCTGCCTTGTCTCATAAGCAGAATAACTTAAATTTCTTTAGTCTTCAAATACGGGGAAGACATCCTTGCCTTATTTTTTTATCCAGAAAACATCTGATCTTTCAATATACCTTTTAAATTTTAGAAGTTAGAGCTAAATGTGATCAAGTTCTATATACTAGAACATGATCACATTTGGCTCTAACTTCTAAAATACTATCTCTACTGCTAATAACACTTTCCTGTTTCTTGATATCATTCTGACCATGTGCCTAAGCATTTGCTGCTGTAGCCTTTGCCTTACTTTTGATATAAATTTTTTAATGTTGTCTTTTTCTGGAATAAATTATTTGCATCTGAATGAGATGGAACTTGCATCATTGTGGATTACCCATTGAAAGTTCCATTTTACAATGCTTATATGTCAATGTTAGGGGTTTACTCCCTTTTTATCAATTCTTAATCTTTGCTTGGAAGAAAGCAGATAATACAGCAAGAATGCCTTATCTACGTTGAAAGTAGGTCTTTATAAATTAAAAATAAGAGTGAATTTCCCCTCAATTTGATTATTTCATGAATTCCATTCCTTAAGTACTGAAAATAAAGTTCAAAATGTTAACATGTTCATATGATTAGGATGATTTTGATGAATGTGGTTTCTACGAGGCTGGGCTTCCATTCAGAGTCAATCAATCAGTGCCCAGTAGGTTTTCTAAGTAAATGTCATTAAAAGTTGCATTTACAGATAATGTATTTGTTCTTTAAATAAAAATCTGGCATACTCTTTGCATAATATCCTTATGTAGTGTCAAAAAATATAGAGAAAAGACATCGTAAAAAATGCAAATTTTCCTACAAATGTGCAGGAAGCAGCATCCATCTGAGCAGTGATGTTGAAACCAACTTATTAATCCAATCCTATGTCAAAATACTTATACAGTGTTGAATATAATAAAATTAGGACTATGATTAGGACCAGAGTTCTTCCAAATTGCCCCAGAGAAAAAACAACAACAACAAAAAAAAGAATATACTGGCAGGCTGTCTGTCTACATAGGAAGTAGCGTATATTATTTTATATTCATTCTGACAGAAATTGCAAAAATTTCTATGTCATTACAAAGCACTTGTGTCAGTAGTTAAAATTAATTCACAGGAGTAACTTGTATGTCAAATCACTCACATAGCATTTTCAAGACCAGGCCCAGACTATAAGTTTCTATCAACATACTTAAAATACGTTGTCACTCTAGTGTTTCCAGTATGAAGTATACATCGGATACAGAATCAAATTATATTTCACATTTGAAATGCATTTTAAATATTTTCTTTTGCTATAAATTTCTCCAGTACAATGTTTTTTCTGCTGAAATCTGAGAAGATCTCTTTAATTGTGTAGTGTTGTGTTTCAGTAATTCAAGTCATGGTGCAGGTGGTACATGCAGTTTACTGATGTTAGAGATAGTATTTAAACAACTCCCTGCTCAGAGGTAGTATATCAAAAGTTTTTTAATTGAGGATGACAGAAGCTGGTGCTGCACTTTCATGTTATCCAACAATGTGGAAGAATTTTGACATATGGCTGGAATGATCAAACTACACCAGTTTTACTGTCTAACTTCATTTGACGTGCATTTCAGAGATATTTCAAAATTATTAACTTGTATACAGTCTTACAGTTGGAGAGTTTACCTTCCTTATGGAACATTTTAATAAAGTCTGATACAAGGGAGCTTATGATCTCAAAGCATTACATAAAGCTGATATATTTTTTTGTAAATCTTCTTTTATGTTTAATTTTCAAGTCATGTAGAAGCTGTAGTTTCTACAAGAGCTGTTACTATAAAAGTGAAGCATGCTGCTACTAACCAGCCCACATTATTTTGCAGGCACACTTCTTCCATTGATACAGGAAGACACTGGTCTAGAAATACAGAAAATTGCTTTAGCTCATCAGCATTTTGTAGACATATAATAGGTAAAATTAGAAAACAAAGGTAGGGCTAAGAAGTCCAGGGTAGTTTGGTGATACTACCAAAATTAGAAATTATATGATCTGTGCAAGTTTAAAATGAGTTGTAGAATATTTACTGGTTTGTTGCTTTTTGGTAGAAAAGGCAACCAAAGTTTCTTTAAGTCTCTGTTGTTTTGCTTAATACTGATGTAACTCAAAGAGCATAGGGGTAAGCATAGATATAAACACTTTTTAATAGGGTAAAAACTGTAGTTTAAAATGTTCTGTGAATACTTGCATTTGTTCTGGATTCTGACATCTGGGAACCAAAGGACTTGATTTTCTTCTATAGTTGCCTGAATGCATGTGTCCTATAAAAGAAATCAGGATTTCAAAATGTAGGGAAATTAATTTAATTACAAAAATTACTGTAAAAAGTAATGATTGAAAGTTAATTACATTAAAAATACCTACTTGAAAGTGGCTTCCTGGGTTTTTAATTTAAACTTTTTTTTTTGTTTAATTGTTATGAAGCATTTCCTTACAATTTTAGCCAGCATAAGATATTGTGTGTCAGGGATGCCTTTTTCTGTCTAAGCATCAAGTGCATTATTGCACAGGGATTCACCAAGGGTACCTCAGCATAACAGCACTTCATAATTATCTGACAGAGCAGCGAGTGATGGTTTGGTGTTTGCCGTGCTTATCTGCAGCAATAACAAAGGATTAAAAGCTTCCTCGCTCCTGTGTTACAGTGCCTGTTCTTTCCCTGCTGGCTCACACAGGCGAGAGAGACATGTTTATACCAAGCACAAAGCTCAGCAGAGGCTGGAGGAGGGAGCTGCTAAGTAAGAAGTCAATATATGTCTCATATAAGGAAAAGCAGCATCCCATGCCAGAGCCATTTCTGTTAAACAGAAGCCTATGGGGGAAGGATTATGACGTGTGATTGAGACACCTGTTGAGAAAATAGGCAACTATTGACAAGTCTGATTCATGACTGAGTGACTGCTCTGCTAGTCTTCACATGATCCCCACCGAGAGCGAGCCTCGACCGCCTGCTAAACAAGGGCTGTTTGAAGTTTCTTTTTAACATTTCCAAGACGTTAATTCAGCAGGACATCTCCACTGGGGTTCTCCATGTCACCAAATCAGCAGCTGTTGAAATCCATTCACTTCAGCATGAAATGTTTGCATAAGTTTTTTTCTTTTTTTCTTTTATTTGTGACAACAGCAAAGTAAATAAAACCCTAAAAATCCTGCACTACTCAACTTGTAGATGTGTGAGAACTGCTTCTGGTCACAATTGTAGCTGCTAAGGCAAAATATTTATTTGTAGAGAACAATGACAATAAGGGTTTATTATGATACAGAAAAAGTACTGATTTTAATAGACATTTCTGTCACATTTTTCTATGTAAACATTCGGTTAATTTTTGTGCCAGCTGTCGAACTTGTGTGAAAAGTATTTTGAAATGGAATTGTCTTTGTTTTTCAATTCAAAAAAATCTTAAAAGTCTAAAAGCAAATGTTTCCTATTCTTTCCAGTCAGTAAATGAAATGCTGTTTTTCTTGTAGGAAAACATTTCTATCTGACTCACATTTCCCTGAGAAAACAGCTTGTATCATAGAATTAGTTTAGTTTGAAGGGGAAACAGAACAAGGCAAGACATGTAAACATATTACAAAGCTTACTTTGATATTTAAATGTTTTGGTTTTTTTTTTCCATTTCCTGGCCATCTGAAAAAAGGTGTGGTGAATGTAGTCAATTGTAAATAGAAACTCTGTATTTTCAGTCAGCTTCATTGTTAAACCCAAGAACTGCTGACCACATATGAAGACTCCCGGTTTGAGCCATCCTTCCTCTGTTTATTAAATCTGTTAAGACTTAAGTGTATTTTTACAAGTTCATTAATGTATTCCATTCTCTCTGATGTATTTTTTCCCACTATTATCAGATTTCATTATATGGGAGGAATTATCAGATCAACCCATTATAAAGCCGAGCAGCGTTAAGTCTGATTGGAATTTGGGCTTCCCTCCGTTTACAGGGGGAATATTGTGTAAATCAGACTCTCGGGTTTCAGTGGGAGGCACAGGGCTGCACAGCATCCATTTGTCAAGTTGATTGCACCTCAGCAAGGCTGCATTAGCTTGTCTTTGAACAGAAGTGAAATCCTATGCGAAGCTCCCCTTTCTGTCATTTACACTAACATCCATCCTCTTAAACCAAGGCCTCAGAGAAAAAACAAAGTGATGGCACAATATAATCAGTCACTCAGGTTGTCTGTCATCTGTTTTCTTAAGGAAATGACTTTTAAGTTAGTGGAGCAGAAAATTGAACAAAATTAGCAGAAGGTTGTTGTAGAAGCAGGAGGAATTTTTAAAAATTACAGATGTACAGGGAGAAGCTCTATTTCACAGAGCCAAGAGAAATGCAATTGATTCTGGTTTTTGGTTTAGTGTTATTACAATGCCAGCGTACCCAATATGCAATAATTCAACTTTTAATGAGACTTTATTCATAAACTTGAATTGGGTTGTAAACGCACAATAAAAAGCTGGTATGCACATTTTCAGCTTTTATATCAGTGACTGTGTTTTATGATGCTGAATACTCCAGTAATTCGCACTCTTTTCCATGTGTCAGGAAACCTGCCTATATATCTCAGAAATGTTAAGCTGGAAAGGCTGTTGTAAATAGCTCTGGGAAGAAACTTGAAAGTTTATTGAAAGTCAGAGAACTGGATTTTTACCTGATGAAAATGGCTGTAGTAAATAATAATTACTCCAACCAAAGCACAGTGAAACTTGTACAGTACAACTGCGACTGTTGCTACAGGGTTAGAGGTGTAAATGAAGAGAAGACAAAGACACACATTTTGCATAAGGTAAAAAGCACCACATTTTAATACATTTCTTTTCCTCCCATCTTCCTAAACTCTTCTTTCCACTTTGGAGGTAGGTTTTTAATTAGGGATACTTTGGTTTCACTTCAATCACTAGGAGAGTTGGTTTTGTCAAGTGTATCTTAAGGGAACATTTTTCAGTGTGGTATTTTTGAAAGGAGGATTGTGTATGGCTATTTTAAGTTAGAGCAAAATAACACATTCCTAGTCTAAAATAAAAACAGTGAGTTCTTGCAACAAACTGGTGTGAATTTTGAATTTATTTAGTTATTTTGAAATAGATACGCCTTCTAACAGCTTATCATGTAGTAAGTGACTAGCATCTGTCAAATGTGCTTCTTTCTTTTCTGTTCTCTTCTCCCTTTTTCATTCTGCCCGAGGGAAAACTGCATGTGGTCTTTATTTGTTTATATTATGAAAATATAGTAGTTTAAATCTTACAGTGCAGTAATAGAAATATTACTGATCTTGGGTGAGAAACCTGTTTTCTTTTTCCCCCATTTTTTTCTGCTAGAGATAGGGGTACAAAACCTCACAAAACAAGTCAGGTTATTAAATTGCTCCATACTAACATTCCTTGGAAATGTAGGGAAAGGTTATTATTTTCAATACTATGCATAGCATGTTCCTATAACTTTCATAAATAAAAGTAGATTGTAGCTGGTTAATTTTTCAGACACTAAGTATTAGGATTTATCATGTGTCCCTTGAAGAAAAGTTAAATTGGCTTGACAATCATAAAAACACTTAAATTTGAATAATTTTACTCAAAGACAGTCAGGTATATAAGCATCTGAAGGATCAGAGCATAAATGAATCAATTTTTCTCTTAAAAAATAAATCTTAAGCCATTTCAGAAGGAAAGTATTTTTAAACAGAGCATGTGAAATTATATAAAAAGTTACAGAAATATCAAATGCACTGCTCATGTAACTCCCATTTCATTAAGATATATATTACTTAAGGATGTGGTACGAGGATGATAATGGCTACATTTTACAGTAATTCTCCCTTTTAGAATTTAATGTTAACATTTAGGAATTCAGGAACCTGAGAGCACCAGAGATCAATCTTGATTCGTTTATTTTCCTTTGTTAAGATTTTGATAGCCTGATAATGCTTTTGTTTGAAAGAGTATTCTTTACATCCTCTTGTGGGGCATGAAATATTGTTACCCCCAGCTCTTCCTCTGAAATAGTGGAAAACAATTTAGGTAACTGAATCTTTGATGAGGAGACCTGAGATTGAAAATTCTGGCATTTAATTGCCCTTTTACACATAATTCTTCTATGTTTAACCTCAAAGGTGATTAAAAAACTTACATCTTAATTGCATAGCCTCATTCAATCATTAGTACTTTGCCTTGAGGCAATTTATTACAACTTTATTTCCCTGAACCATCAATGAAGATGATGCTGAATTTTATATTAGCCAAATGTCCTTTTGAGATTAATGTGGTAATATAGATTTTATGCAAGCTTTTTCCGCTTTAATATTTGTGTTATTAGATTGGGGTTATAGGTATAGCACAACTGTTTGGGCAGTTTAGAGAATGCTGCGTGCATCGCCTCAGAACTGATGCTGGAGTTTTATTTGAAAATGTGCGTCTGCAAGAGGAAATAATAGCAGGGCATTCTCTGATGTGCTTCTCTATAACTATTTTTCAGCTTACTCACACAAAGTTTTCCCCAAGGTAATAGTTGGACTTCCATTGTGAGAAAGCTCTAGGACCAGATGGGTGAGGAGGTGAGGATGTGGGTGCTGTGCCACAAATGCCATTTTTAATGTTGGGCAAGTCACGGTAAATTGCACTTATCTTTTACAGTGGTCTTTTGGAGGTTCCTATATTAAAATTTTGATGGGTTAGAGCTGTTAGGGCTATGAAATACCAAAACCCCCTTCTGTTAGTTGGAACTCATCATGAGCATGATTTCTGTTATGATCTTTAATTCATTTTGGATAGATATTTAAATATGGCAGGTAGAAAGCATTGAGACACTTATGCTACTCTACATAACTGCCATAATTTTAAAATTCACTGCTTTTCCATACCATTCTCAGATTAGAACTGGCAGCTACTGGCATCCACTTTACAAGCATTTCTGCTTGTTCAGAGCTCAGGGAGATTTCAATGGATGAGGCTGGTTTGATGAATGCTGCAAGCGAGGTGTGCTGACACCAGTGCCAAAAGCACTGTCCTGCCTTTCCCCCACTCCTGACTTCTCATTCCTGACCCTCTACCACGCCATCCTTTGAGCTATCACAGCTGTTTATCCTACAAGCAGTGAGGGAGAGGAGGCTGGGGGAGGACAGGACTGCTGCCATCACTCACTGCTCTGGTACAACCAGCAGAAGTGTTGGTTTGGCTGCAGACTCTGGAGCCAGATGAGTGGGCTATGTAAGCACACCAGAAGGGTCTCCTAGCATTCCAGAAATGTGAACTTGTAAAGTAATGGAATTTGGTGAATGTTACATCCTCCCTCTAAGGAACAGGTAAATTCATTTCAGCAGCAGCTTAAACAGTAGCAGCCTCCACCTTCAACTCTAGCACATTTCACCTCTGGAAACAAAAGCATAATCAAGGGTGCTCAGACACTTGAATTAAGTGGAAGAAGAGTATGACTGGATATTAAATTAATCTCAGTGGAAATTAGATATGTCTGGATGAGTAGGGCAAAAGCAAAGGAAAGAAAAGAGCAGGAGAAAAATCATACCAGAAGACTCAAAGGAGGAGGAGAATGTGAAAATAAGAAAGAATTAGATATTCACTGTGGCAGTCCTACAAAGGTCTCAGTGCTGGTTGAAAAGGCTTCAAGATGGGAAGGCAAGGATTTTTGTTGTTGCTGTATATCTCCTGCACTGAAGGAAACAGGAGTAAAATTGGGCGATTTTGGAGGTGTTTTTTTAACTAGATATGCCTGAAAGATGCTTGACTTCACAATTTTCTCCTCCTAATAGAAACAGCCCTCAGGGCCTCAAACTTTGGCTAATCATTTAGGTCAAAAGGGTAATAATAATGTAGAAGACCATGAATTAGAAGTGTACCCTGGGGAAGGCATGACCCAATGCAGAAGTAGAAAATAACCATACAAAACTCTGTAATGGGATCCTCTGAAGCTGAATGGGAAAATGAGGGTTCATACAAATATGCTCACCATCTAATATGAAACATAACTCCAGAAGTATGTATTTTTATTCCCTGTTATGAGTGAAACCACAGTGGAGTTACTGTAAGACTGAGGCTGAACTAATCCCATCACAGGATCAGATCTTGGCAATAAATAGTTCCAGGTGTGATCCAAGGATTAGGAATGTTTAGATTTTTTTAAACTGAAAGGTGTGGAGTTTTTTTCAGTCTTTCCACTGAGAAAGGAGGATGTGTGTGAAGTGTCCTGTTCTCAAAACACCGACCTGACTATTGCATATCCTTTTTTAATGGTATAACTATCTCAAATACTTTACCAAGAAAGCTGATATTAATCTGCATATGTTATGAATGAGGAAATGAGGGATGAGGACACTCAGCATCTTGCTGGAATGGTGCTAGCAAACCTGGAAGTACAAACACTGTCTCAGTGCTCTATTTCATGGGTTCTTCTTCCTTCCAGGTCATCCTTACAATCTGCCATTTTATTTATTGTGAAACTTTGGGTTTCACAAAGACATGGGACATGTTTGGAAAAGAGCGACTCTTGAATATGCTCATCTTGTGTGTGGCATTAGACAGGGATGGAATGAGCATGTATGTAATAATTGTGCCATACTACACACACACGAAGGAACACAGTAAGGCTATGTAGGCAATCTCATAGCCAGTGTCTTCAACTTCTTGTCTTCAGAGGCTATGTCTAAGTGCTTGGAGGTCTATGAAATAGGCTAAACCTGTGTGTGAGGTTGTTAGTCTCAGCTCCTTTCCACAGGCTGTGGCAGCATATAGATGGCATAGCAGCAGGCAGTGCTGATTATCTCAGGCACATAACTTGCATAAGTTTGTAGCTGAAGAGAGTAGCTGCCAGGAGTTGTCTCTGTGGTCACACTAAGCATTTATATCTGCTTCTGTACCATCATCCCTCCCCAGAATTTATACATTGGTATATAATCATTTATACAACCCCATGCAGCACTACAGGCTTGGGGAGGAGTGATTTGAGAGCTGCTCAGCAGGAAGGGACCTGGGAGTGCTGGTTGCAGACAGCTGAATGTAAGCCAGCAATGTGCCCAGGTGGCCAAGAAAACCGATGGCATCCTGGCCTGTATCAGAAATAGTGTGGCCAGCAGGACCAGGGCAGTGAACGTCCCCCTGTACTCATCACTGGTGAGGCTGACCTTGAATCCTGTCTTTAGTTTGGGGCCCCTCATTTCAAAAAGGACACTGAGGTCCTGGAGCAAGTCCAGAGAAGGGCAGTGAGCTGGTGAAGGGTCAGGAGCACAAGTCCTGTGAGGAACAGCTGAGAGAACTGGGGGTTCTTTAGTACGAAGGAGGTTGGAAAGAGGTTGTTGTGAGGCTGGAGTTGGTCTCTTTTGCCATGTCTCAAATAAAAGGATGAGAGGAAAGGACCTTAAGTTGCAGCAGAGGAGGCTTAGATTTCATATTAGGGAAAAATGTTTACTGAAACTGTGATTAGGCATTGGAATATTCTGCCCAGGGAGGGGGTGGAGTCATCAACTCTGGAAATGTTCAAGTGGCATCTGGATGTGGCACTTGGGGATATGGTTTAGGGGTGATAATAGTGGTGGCAGAATGATGGCTGGATTGGGTAAACCCTGGCAATCCTGTGATTCTGTATCAGACCATCAGGTAAGTGATTCCTCTTCGACTCATTATTTTCCATTTCACTTACAAGCAGGATTAAAACAGTTTGGGACCTGAAGCCCAAATCCTTAGCCCCCTAATCCAGAGAGATCAGGATTAAAAGAAAGCATGGTGAAATAAAAAGAGGATAGAGACGACTGCGTGTCTGCATCCACACAGGCACTTACGGGGAGAAAGCAAGCAGGTGCTGAAGATCTTTGTGAAGAAAAGAATCACCAGTAGGCATCAATTATAGGGCCTCAGACTATGCTTTCCTTCAGTGTGTGCTGCTAAGCAGAGGCCCTGAGCCAGGGACAAAGTGTTCTGGGACATGTCCTCTGTAATACTTTTAGATTTCTTGAATAATTCACAAAGCTTTTGGACACCTTTTCCCCAAACACACACAAAGCCAATTGTGCTATAGAAGAGAGTTTGATCAACTCTGTAAGGAAAGCAGCTTCCTTCTTCAGCCTTGATATAGGCATTTTAGAGCAGATTGCATTATTCCCTATTTTGAGAGAATGACAGCTGAACACATAACGTTTGTAGAGTTAATATGTTTTAGTAATTTATTTTGTATTTCTTTATGAGAGTTACTGCCTTATTTACAGTGTAATAGTAACAGTCATGTTCTGCACATGGGTATATTGCCTTTGATTGGGAACAATACCAATTCCTATACCAAGTGAAGAAAACGGAGTAGTTCATGATTTAATTACTTGTGTTCTTTGCAAGAATAATTAAAGGGTCATGCCAAAATCTTATCAGAGCATGACTATTTAGCATGTCAAGACTGAAGCTATTTAGGTGGCATACTAATGACTTATTTGCTGACAAGATTCACTTTTAGAAACTCTCTCTTCACTCTTTCACTACTGATAGTTAGAAGTGTAAAAAGTGTAGTTATCAAAATGCATTAGTGGGAAGAAAGAATAAATTTTCAAGTGACTTGTGATTAAAGATGCTTTACTTTAGAAAAAATGGTCAGAGAAATGGATTTTTAAGAGCCGAGCAAATATTTTCTGAAAAATCAAGGTATGGGTAGGTATTTGAAAGTCAACCAGCACTGGCACAGCTACTTATGTTAATCCTTCTCTAAATCTTCATCATAAAATTTTTGCACTCCAGTTACTTATCTAGAACACCACTTTAATCTGTAAGTATTAGCTTGTTTCAGAAGTGTTGCAGCAAATAGGAAAAACTAATGGTTAAATTTTTCTGAATAGTTGAACACTCCAAGACACGGTAAAATTACTGTAGTCCATGTATGCTTTAAAAAATAGATCCTCTATTTGCCATTAAATCTTCTTAAGCCACAAATATCTACCTGGCTATTTTTTCATAAATGTTTTCTCTACAAAAGTAATTCACCCATCCCCAAGCAATATATTTAACCATTTCCAGTAAAACATAGTTTTGAATGTTGCATATACCTTGACCTACAGAGTTAATCCACAGCTTCCCTTGGAATATATACACACAAACATCAGTCTTTGGCAGAAGAGACTTTAGAGGATTTATCTGTAGATGCTTGAAGAAAAAACCATTTGCTAAAGTAGTATTAAGACTTAGAGATTATGTTTAACAGTTGAAATACATCAGTAGCACTAAGTCAGTTTGAGTGTCTCAGCAACTAACTAGTCCCAGAAAGAATTGGTGGTATCCCACAAAGTGCTGATCTTCAGCATTTTTAGTGCTTTGCGGAATTGATTTCTCAGTCCCAAGGCAATTGTCCATATCATGCAAGTGCTGCATACTATTTTAGCCAGAAGCCTCCGTTTGAGAGTAATCCAAGAAAAAATGCCAGTGTATTGTTTTCAAGTTATTTTTGTGAAATATTTGGCTCCGATGCATAGCTAATTTTCAAAAGACTCTTTGAAAGTCTCTCGTTAGAAAAATAGATATTTTTAATGTGTGCATAGTTCATTTTTAAACCAAATCTAGCTAAAAATTGCCACATAAGCTGTTTTTCAATAGAGGGCCAATAGCCATATTTTTGTGTCTCCACAGAAGGAATACATTTGTATTTTTAAAATATAAGTATTTGAGTAGCCATATAAAATAAGCAACATGAAGGTGCCATATTGAATTCATTAAGATTTCTCTCTCATATGTAACCCCAAGTATCTAGATCCTTATAATCTTACTGGCAGAGAAAACAAGTACATGCCTTGCCAGATCAGCTGGGCTATGAATAGCTAAACATTAACACACTTCCAAGCTCATGTTTTGGTCTGGGTTTCTGCCTTCAGTGTAGGTTAAGAAGTCCCCACTGATGATACCATCTCCAGACCATATTTAGCAGACGTATTTTCCTCCTGTTATCACCCCACCGAAGCGAGGAGATGGAATATCCTTTGATCCCTGGTCCCTTTGGCTGGTCACTGCTCAGCTTTCTTGCTGCTCTTTGTTCACTAAGGCATAACTTCAGGCTCAGTACCACAACACACTTGCTAGACTGTGGAGCTGCCAGGCCCTAGGAAGCTGTGATTCCTATGGCTGTTGCTGTCCCAAGGATCAGTGGGCTCAAAGAAAACCAAGAGCAAAGAACAGGTCACTGATTCGGTCTTCTTCTCCTTTGATATAAGTAATTACTAGGAACCAAAACTTAACTTTCACTTCATAACCAGAAATTAGTACCATTTTTGTTTGACATAGTGACATCTTAAGTTGTTAAAGGGAGCCCTTGGTGGCTCTCAGGGATTATTAGGGGCAAATATTTCACTTGCAGGTCAGCTGCAGGGATCTGTCCTGGGGCACGGGTGATTGGCAGCTGTTGCAATGTGATGTCTGCAGGAGGGCCTGTGCAGGAAGCTGCAGGTTGGGGCTGGGTGGGCAGGTGTCAGCACTGCAGTCCCACGCTGCCAGAATTAGCAATCCCTGCGGCAGTGC